GAGAATGTGACGATTCTCACGATCAATTAAAATCTAAATGTAAATCATCCGACATGAATCTAAAGATTTATGCTAGCACTTAAAAATTTTGTTGAGACAAGAGAATCTCATCTTATTAGAAAAGTTTTTGAGGGCAAAATTATTTATTGAAAGATTTCATGTTTTTAAATATTGACAAGAGAATATTCTCCTGTATCAAGTAATCTCGTCTTTATCAAAAGATTTTTCTTTCTCAGTGTTCAAGTTCAAAACATACTTGTTTTTCCCCCATTAAATGGGGTAAAAATAAAAAATAGTGATTTTGCTCCCATTCAATCTTACACGGAGAGAAATTTGAAAAAAAAAATCTAAATCAGTACCAGAAAAGTAGCGCAAAATACGAGATAGGTAAAAATTCCAGTGCCGTTAGTGGAATTTTTATCAGTTAATTGGGAATTTTTCTTGATTTTTGATGAATTTTTCTCAAAACTCCTCAGAAATTTTCTTGGAAAGAACGCGAAATTTTAGTCGAATAGGACTAGCATTTTTCGTAATCCGTAGGTTGAAATTTTTCCATCACCAGCACTTGAATTTTTTTTTAAATTTCTCTCCGTGTACAGGTTTCCGAAAACACTTATTTCGCTATTATTTAATCGTACCAGATCAAGAAATACCCAATTTGCCCCACGTACACTCTTTCAATATGGAGGACTTATAGCGTTTAAAAATATAATACTTTCGCCTTTTGGCTATTTTAGTTTGTGTTCGATTTGATCATTTTTGGAAACAAAAATTTTTTTTTGCGTTATTTTTAGAAATAATTTTTGTTTGAAAACTAAACCGAAACTTTTTAGAAATTATCATTAAAGCAGATTCAAAACTTAAACACAGGGATTTCTTGAATCTAAACAACAGGGCTTAAAATTTTTTGTTTTTGCTTCCGAACAGAAGCATTGTAATCAGTCAATTTTTACATTTCTTAATTTTTATTGGAAATTATGTAGAATGGTCCGAAACGTAAAAATACAAAGTCTGAGGACCATGTCTGTATGTGTCACCCCCGATTTGCCACTTTTGCAAAATCAACTTTTATAAAATCAAACAATATATTGACTAATAAAATTTAAAAACAAGCAGTTGACCAACGCTATTCGATCGAATTCATTCGGGGCATCACTTCATGCATACATTTTTTTTCATTTTTTATTTCTACCAATTTCATTGGTAGTAAGCTTCTGAATGGATCCGTAGTAATTTCATTGAGAATTTTCCGGGACTGGATTTTAGCTAATCACAGCGCAGTATTTCGAGGTCACAATACTCTTTTATTATCAAATTTTTTTCGGAAATTGCACACTAGCTTCTGGAAATTGCACCCGATAATTGCATAGTAGCTGCTCACTTGTTTCTAACCAACCGAATATTTTACCGGAAGAAACTTTCGTGCGCACGGAAGTTTCAAGTCTTGCAAAAAAATCCCTCGTGCTTCGCACTCGGGATTTTTAACATGCAAGACGTGACACTTCCATTTGCTTGCAACGAAGCTACCGGGAAATATTCTGATAATTTTGAAGGTCTCGGGATGTTATAACTAAAAATCAATATAGAACATTTTTATAAAAAATCCATTGAGCCTATCTTAAATACGATGCATTGTTGTCATAACGGCATGTCTTTTCCAAATTTCAACTTAAAATCTAGATTTTTGCGCATGATAGAAAATGAGCAATGATTTTATAGAAAAAACAGAAAATCACATATATCTCAAAAACTTTACAGGAACGAGTATATAACTTTTGCTCGATCTACATAGGGGGGGTTTCTTCTCCACCTCAAATACATTATAAACCGATTTTGCTGGAAAAGATGTTACAAATTTCCAAACTAAAATAGCTCGAAAACTTTGCAGGAATGGGTATATAGCTTCCAATTAATCTAAATAAAACTCATCAAGACGAACATTAAAAAAAAAAAGTTAAATCGGTCCATTAGTTTTAGAGATATTTGAGAAAAACCCATTAAAACCCATTCCAGAAAACATTCAATATCTCCGCAACTACTGGTCCGATTGAGCCCACCCGCAATTTCAACTTGATATCTCGATTTTTGCGATGACTAGAGAGTGAACAAGGATTATTTCGAAAAAACAGAAAATTGGAAATATCTCAAAACCTTTGTACCAGCGGGTATATAACTTCCGATTGATCTACATAGGGGGCTTCGAGATGAATATTAAAAAAAAAAAAAAAGTAAAATCGGTCCACTCGTTTTCAAGATATTTGCAAAAACGCTTGAAAAACAAATCGCTTTTTCTCGACAACTAGTCGACCGATCGAGCTGTTCTTGATCACAGAGTTAGTCCTTAATAAGACCTATAATCTGTGAAAATTTCAACATTTTTTGAATTTTTTTAGTCAATTTATTGTTCGATTTTCTAAAAGTTGATTTTGCAAAAGTGGCAAATGAAGGGTAACACATACAGACATGGTCATCAAACTTCGTATTTTTCCGTTTCAGACCATTCTACATCATTTCCAATGAAAATTAAGGAATGTGAAAATTGACCGATCACAATGCTTCCATTCGAAAGGAAAAATTGAAATTTTTCACAGATTATAAGTCTTATTAAGGACTAACCCTGTGATCAAGAACAGCTCGATCGGTCGATAGTTTTAGAGAAAAAGCGATTTGTTTTTCAGCCGTTTTTGGCAAAAATCTCGAAAACGAGTGGACCGATTTAACTTTTTTTTTCAAATGTTCGACTCGAAGCTTCCTATGTAGATCAATCAAATGCTATATACCCGTTGGTGCAAAGTTTTCGAGATATTTCCAATTTTCTATTTTTTCGAAATAATCCTTGTTCGCTCTCTGGCATTCGTAAAAATCTAGATATCAACTTGACATTTAGAAAGGACATGCCCTTATGACAACAATGGTTCGCATTTCAGATGGGCTTAATCAATTTTTTATGAAAATATTCTGTATTGATTTTCAAAGAAATGAGGTTGGTGCAACCGGACCTAAATGGATAAATACATTGAAGTGCCCTCCAATTTCTACGATTGAAAATGCTGAAAATAACATTTCAATAGAAGGAAAAAATCAAAAGGGATATACGACTATTCGGCTTTAGGTGAAATTTATCATTAAGTAGATTTTTAGATTGGCTAGTGGCAAAAGGTCGTATATACCGGGTGATGCGATCTTTTGCTGGAGAAAGCGATTTTTGGCATATACGAACTTTTGCTTTTAAACGCACGATATGTTGAAATCCGTTATCTCATTATAAAATTGTGCAAACGTTCCTATCATAAGACGTTACTATCAAAGCTCTCGAGAAGCTCGTCAAAATTCCATGTAGGTACTTCCATTTTTGTGGAAGCTAGGAAGCGCACAACGATTTTTTTCTAAAAAAACATAAAATTGAAATTATCTCGAAAACTTCGCAGGATCTATAGCTTCTGCTGAATTTATATAGACGGCAACAAGGCGAATATTTTTAAAAAAGAAAAAAATGGAATCGATCCACTAATTTCAGAGATATTCACGAAAACGATTTAGAAACAAATCACTTCTTCTCGAAAACTATTCGACTGATCAAGCTGTTCTTATGCACAAAGTTTGTCCTCATCAAGATCTATGATCTGTGAAAATCACAGATTTTTTAGCGAGATATTGCAAAAAAAAGAAAATATCTCGTGTCTACTGAGACGAGTATTTTGAAAAAAAATTTGAAATCCGTTTACTAGCTCATGAGATATTGAAATAAATGCATTTACACGAAAGGTGACATATCTTTGGAACAATTTGGGCGATTGCACCGACCCGCAATACGAACCTTGTATGTTATGAGACCAACGAGCGCACAAAAGTTCAACTCGTTATCTCTTCATGACAATTGATCGCGTTCGTAAGGTTTTTGATGATAAAACCAAAAAACGGTGACATGACTATATTTCAACTTAACAAATGTAGATATTTTGATTGATCTTGATAGGAAAACGAGTATTTTCAGAAGAGATATTGGAGAAAAACGAAATTCAAAGAACGTGCTATATCTCAGGAACGCTCAGACCGATTGGCCCGGAATGGCGCCTCGAAGTGAAGGTCAATCATGGCTATCAAAATTGAAAATGTTTGATTTTTAATGACGAATTTCGCCGTATTTATGTTTGATTTTCTAAAAAAGAATCGTTAAAGTTCGGAATTTTCCAGCACATACTCGATATATTAGTCAAACACCAGGCTTCCATTACGATGCAAAAACAAATAAATTTAGGCTGGCCTGACAACAGTATTTGAGAACAAAAATTGAGAAAGTTTTTCAAACTCCCTCCATCGTAGAAAAACAATAAATCAATTTCTAAGTGTGTGAAGGCCTGAGGTTGACTCATTTAGTGCGAAATATAGTTCATACTTGATATTATCTCCATGTGAGTGATTATTAGCTACATTTTTAAATTCATATCATGTTTCATAGCATTTTATTGTTACTAGTGAGAAATTAAAATTAACTCATGTCTATCTTTCCTAATGCGTTCTCATTCAACGTTAATGGATCATAGAATATAGAAGTATCACGATATGTATTTAGAAATGGTAGTTTATGGTAGTTGGAACGACATTGTCCACTTACCAGCGGTACAGCAAGAAAATTTGCCCCAAATGTTCATACCTCAAACTTAATTAGATAGAGAGATAGGAGCAACTGATTTTTCCGATACTTTCTGATTGTTTTTTCAGCATATATTCCACATGTGAAATTCAATTGATAGTAAAACATTGAAAACAATTAATTAATTACATGATTCTATCTGATCACGTTTAAGGTCTCAAAATTTCCGCAAACTTCTTTTTCACACCACTGACAAGTGGACAAATTTTGAAAATGGAAAAAATTTTGAAGTCTCGCTGCTGATTGGTGGATTGTACAATATATTGTAAATACAGAGTATCTACATTTCTTCGAGAAGAATAAATATGAGAATCCCACATGCATAAGAAAGAAGAGAAGTTGATACCTTGGATGAAGTGTTGTGATGGGAACAACTCGGCTGAGGTGAATGTACAGGGCTTTTTGTCACAGGCGTCTTGTCCTTCTCAAATTCCTCAGAATTCTATGAACATAAATGGATGAATAATTGTATGTCTCTCATAACCATGTTGACTAATAGAAGATCAAGAATAGATAAAGGCAACCATATTTTTTAAATGAAACTGCCTTGGGAGATGTGATGAATGCTTCCTTTGATAATGGTCGATAGGAATTGAGTGTTTGCAAATTTGGAAGTTCCTTTAATTTTGTATACGAAAATTGGATGACGAACATTACATACGTATTTTCTCCATTTTGGAAAAGAATAAAGAATTGGAAAGTTATAGGCGAAAAATCTCGATCATGAAATGACGCGAACTCGTTCCTATGCAAGCCATTGTAACGCCCTAACTTGGATGGTTTTTCAATTGAATACAATTCATCAAATTTTTATTTTCTTCAACATAAATTAAATATATGATTATTTTTTTCCAATTTTGGTATTCTATTATTTTTGTCAATAGAGCAATCTTAAACAAAACCCCAATTAGCACTTTTTTTAATTGAAGTTTTTCGTTATAATAGTGCAACTTCAGTTATTCGAAAAATAGAAGGATTCCAAAAAGTACGTCTAAATGGAACAATTTGTAATTTTCTCCTAATCGTAATATTTTATAAATTAGAATATTGGCGTTCAAAGAACCTCTAAAATCATTCCATTTTGCTCTACTCTTCTCTACATTATTAAAAAAAAATAGGATAGTATTTGCATTCTCTATTCTAGTTTTTCATTAATCGATAACTCATTGGTTTCCAGAAATGGAAATTGAATCTATATAGTTAGTTATACATAAAAGACGGAACGAGTGCAGTGCTCAGGACTGCAACTCAGATGGGCCGACCAACCTATACAACTTTTCCTAAATTGACCAAGTGAGTGTCAAGAGCAAAAAATGAATTTTGGGATGAATGAGACGAAGAAGAAGGACCAAGTCCCAATCATTTCCATGTCAGGATCGGAAATATAGATACATGATCGTAGCCTACATTACCAAACCTTTCATAATACGGAATAAATAACATACCTCATCATTCTCCAGTTCTGAAAATCCTAAGTCTCCGAATAACTGTCCAGATGGACTAAGAGGTATGTTTTCTGGATGATAATAAGGCTTACGGGTAACTGAAGCTGAAGATTTTGACGGAATTGGGGATGAATCCCGAGGTGAACGAGAGGAAGAGTTTTTCGGTCTGAGCACGTCGGGCGTTTTAAATCATTGACGATCGACCCCTGTGACTTGTTGGCTTTTGCTTTCGCCTGCGAGTCGAAAGAATTGGCATTGTCTTTTTGAATTTTTGGTTCCAACTTGTTCCTCAACTTGTTCAAGAGGCGTATTTCGTCTTTTATCAGATCTAAGACATTTGAAATTTTTAGTCTTTTTAGGTGGTCCATTGAAATCGGGGGACTATCACTGTCATCTTTGGGAGTTGCAGGACTCTTATTTTGAAGGGTAAGTGACTGCTTCCCTTTCTCTCGTTCCTCGAACGTGACTTTTTTAGGGTTCAATTCATCATCATCGTCTTTCTTAAGCACTTTGTGCTTTCCAGAGCTGTCGTTCTTAAGAGACGGGAAAATTCTTCTCAGAGAATCATCAGCCTGAAATTAATGACAAGGCTTAGAAACTTTGTAGAACTTGTTGAGGCCATTTTGAGCAACGGAATATTCAAAAATTATTTAAATATGAGGTGACTGACTGAATTCAAAGGAGTCTTAGTCACTCAAGTCAAAGTCATGTTCGAAATGAACTCGCAGCTTTGGAGCTACAATTTTTTGTTTTCTCAAAATGTTTGAAAAAAAGTGTAGAACAATAACGAGCAGGTTTTCTAATATTTGAGCCCTACACGTTTGCTTTTTTTTATATGGAAGATTGAATTATTATTTATTATCCATGTAAAATAACCCGAAGAATAATTCTTTAAATATTTATACTAATTTTATTCATTTATTTATGAAAAATTTCCTAATTCTTTGTGACCATTTTTACATCACTAGTACGATTGTTCATATTAGACGAAGCGAAATTGAGTGTTTACAATTCGAAATTCTAAAAAAAAGCTTGTAATTGTTATTTTACGGATTTCTTCAGAAATTTTCATGAAAACAAAAAGTTTTATCGCTGACAAATTTGAGGCCTCAGGCAATTTTTTTAATTTCAAAGATTTTATGTATTTCTGAATTCAACTTAAAAGATTTATTTTGGCTCTAATTATCCATTTTTCCTCATAAATAATCAATTTTCAACATATGGTGAATCTCAATAACAAAAAAAAAGCGACTTTAAAATTTCTCTGTGACCTCCCATCAATATCTGATATCTGATTGTTTTCCATTAAGCAAACTCGATTCAAATCAAATACCTTTTGTCGTTTTCCGCACTCCGAGGACTTGAGTAGTTTCACTTGTATCTCTTGCTCCTCAGGATCATCCTCAGTCAGTTTCTCTTCCTCTTCCTTTTCCTCTTCCTCTTGTTCTTCGTCTTCCTCTTCCTCTTGTTCTTCCTCTTCCTCTGCTTCTTCCTCATGTTCTTCATCGTCCTTTTCCTCAAACTTCAATTTCTTTAAATTCTTGGCATTCAAGGGTTTTTCATTGGAAGCCTCCCACCGTCTCTTTTTCCCGCCAGGGGTTGACGCCTTACCAGCGGCGGTGCTTCTCACGGAACTATTAACCTATAATTGATGCGGAGGATCAGTGATGATATATAATGAGTATATATAAATCATTGTATTATTGTAGTGTCATCAAAAGGTCCTTACGGAGAATGACTGTTAGGAGAGAAGATACTGTGGAATTTGAAAGTTGTGGGTTGTTTAATGTATATCTGCTATACATGGAGAAAAATTTATAAGAAAAATTCTAAATCAGTACTAGAAAAGTGGCGCAAAGTACAGGATAAGCAAAAATTCCAATACCGGTTTTCAAGAAAACCTCAGAATTTTTCTTGGAAAGACCGCGAAATTTTCGCTGAACGGTGCTAGAATTTTTCGTATTCCGTAGATTTGAATTGTTCTATTACCGGCACTCGAATTTTTGTTGAAAATTTCCTCCGTGTATGTTCAATGTAATGTATGTTCGTGTAATATCGATTACTTATGGTTAAAATCTATAATTAGGGTGGATAATTAAGGCGAAGGATTTTTTAAAATCATTTTTAGTTAAGTCTTCAAATGCTCAAAATCTTAGAAATAGCCCAAGGCCTCCAATTTTCCAGTTACAACAATTTTTTTTTAGGAAAAAACAATGTAGAAAAACTCTCACAACTTTGTTTTTTGTAAAATTGGAACCTTCAACATTTCAGTCTTTTTTTTTCATACAGAAAATTCAACAATCGATATAGAATGACCCGAAAAATGAGTGTTCGGATTTGTATACCAATTGTATCTATTCATTCATACAATATTTCCGATTTTTTTCCGATCACTTTACGTAAATCGTCAGATTTTTCATATTAAAAGAAACTGCATCGAGTGTTTAAAATTTGAAATTGAAAAAAATAGCTCGTTCTGTTTTTCTACGGATTTCTTCAGAATTTTTGATAAAAACAAAAAAATTTATCGTTGGCGAATTGGAGGCGTCATATGATTTTTAAAATTCTAAATATTTCATGGATTTTGTAGTTGGACTTGTAATAATTTTTATTTTGCGCTAATTATCCATTCTTAGCCATAAATAATAAATTTTCAACGTATGGTGAATCTCAATAATAAAAAAAATTGCGACTTCCAAATTCCCCTGTAACCTCACCTCAATATCTGATATCCGATTGTTTTCCATTGAGCAAACTCTATTCAAGTCACATACCTTTTGTCGTTTCCCGCTCTCCGAGGACTTGAGTAGTTTTCCTTGTATCTCATGCTCCTCAGGATCATCCTCAGTCAGTTTCTCTTCCTCTTCCTCTTCGTCATCCTCTTGTTCTTTCTTTTCCTCTTCGTCTTCCTCTTCCTCTACTTCTTCTTCTGCTTCTTCTTCTGCTTCTTCCTCTGTCTCTTCCTCTTGTTTTTCTTCTTCCTCTTGTTCTTCATAGTCCTTTTCCTTCAACTTAAATTGCTTTGAATTCTTGGGATTCAGGGGTTTTTCATTGAAAGCCTCTTGCCGTCTCTTTTTCCCGTCAGGGGTTGACATTACAGAGGAGGTGGTAGTCCTTCTCTCGGAACTATTCACCTGGAATTGATGGAGAGGATCAGTGATGATATAGAATGAGTATATACTGATTATTGTATTATTGTAGTGTCATCAAAAGATGCGTACAAAGAATGACTGATTGAAGACTATTTGAAACTCGTGGGTTGTTTAATCTATATCTACTATACGTTCAATATCGATTACTTATGGTTAAAAACTTTAATTAGGGCGAAGTTTTTTTTTAATTTTTAATCAAGTCCTTAAATGCCAAAACTCTTGGAAATAGCACGATTTCTCCAATCTTTCACCTAGAACAATGTTTTTCAGGAAACAAAGTGGAAAAAAACACTTGAGCAATTTTTTTTGTTAAATTGGAACCCTTTATTTCAGTCTAATTTTTTCAGACGGAGAATTGAACTATCGATTTAGGACGACCAAAAAAATAATTCTTCGCATTTGTATAGCAATTTTATCCATTCATTCATACCATATTTAGAATTTGTTTCCGATCATTTTATGTAAAACAATAGATTTTTTATAACATAAACAAAATTGATTATTGAAACTATGAAATTGAAAAAACTAGCTCGTAATGTTTTCCGACGGATTTTTTCAAGATTTTTTTATAGAAACAAAAACTTTTCTCACCGGCAGATTGGAGGCTGCAGACTATTTTTTAAATTTTCAATATTTTATGAAATTTGAACTTCGATTTACAATAATTTTTATTTTACAATAATCATCTATTCTTCGTCATAAATAATCGATTTCCAACGTATGATAAATCTCAATAAAAAAACTCGCGACTTTCAAATTTCATCGTAACTTCCCCTCAATATCTGATATCCGTTTTTTTTCACATTCAGCAAACTATATTCAAATCAAATACCTTTCGTTTCTCTCCGCTATCCGAGGACTTGACCAGCTTTGCTTCCATTTCTTGCTCCTCAGCATCATCTTCGTCCGGACTTTCTTCGATTGCGTCTTGCTCTTCCAAATCGCATTTCCGGACGGTTTCCCTGTTTTTCAATTTCTTGAGCTTCTTAGGGTTCCATGGACCTGTAACCCCTTCTTTCAGCTGTCTTTCCTTCAGGCGAGGAATGGACTCCTCAGAATGATTCACCTGACATTGATGAAGAAGTTCAATTGGACTATATAACGCGTTGAAACAATTTTGAGTAACATACGTAATTAAGAGTGTTATTCATATTCACATCATTTAGCTGGAAGACAGGATCATATTGAAAACAAGCAAGTGTACTCGGCTAAAATAATTTTTCTTTGCAGTGTGAAAGATAATGTAATTGCTGATGAATACTACTAACTATTCAAACAATTAATGAGACAAGAAAAAACACGGAATTATCTGCAAATGTTGGAAATTTAAAACAAAACTATAAATAGATGATATAGAGCCTAAAATAATACTCACGAATCCTGAATTCATCACCAGCGCATCTAAATTCCTCAATGATTTTGTAGCATGTTCAGCCTTTTCCTGTCATTTTTAATTTTCGAAGTTATGATGTAAATTCACTCAGTGGTATAATTCAACTAATGAACTTTGTCACACAAAGGGGGGGGGGGTTAAGTAAAACATAATATTGGTGAGATAGGTTTAAAATAGATATCATGGTTACAACGTGATATACTATTTACTTCCAATAATTTACGTTAATTCATTGAAATAGTTAATTCAATTAACTTCGTGCTTCTTGACCATATCAATATTATAGCAATGATACAAAATCTGAAAGTACATAATTAATATGTAGCCGATTTCAGGTTTCCACGAAACAAAAGAAATTATAAATGACCATTTTCGATAAGAGAAGTGAGAAAAAAAATTTGGCTGTTCCATAGGCCCGCAAATTTGTATGGAATCACTGTATGACTGGATTAACTTCAACTTGTGGCTTAATTAAGGTATTCCGAGCGCACTCAAAGCCACTCATCAGAGGGCACAAAGAGGGCTTAACAACAATGTTTTATTAGCAAAATAACGATCAAAAACGTTAGAAAAAAGTTACAAGGGGTATGATCACCACTCAATGCAAAGTACATTCATTTGACACGTTCAAAACTATTCATATTTTTTTTTTTCGTTCGGTCCCGAGCGAGGGCATTTGTGTATGGTCCTGGTCAATACATTAGCACTTGCTGTATACGTATAGTGTGTGGTAGGTACCCATACAACGCTCGAGACAGAGCTCCACCACCAAAGTCAATAAATTGATTACTTAAAAAATGTATTACTCAACAACGAAACGATAGACTTTACACTTCAGCATCTCAAAATGAAGCTAATACTTTAAAATATAATTGTGAATTTTTGCAGAAAATGGTAAGAAAATTTTTCGATAAATAATTAAAAAAAACGAAAATTACACAAATTAACAATGCGGTATATGGGAAAATCTCAAAATTTATAGTTCCTCTCCGAAACGTTAGATCTTTTTAGGGTACAAGAGAAAGTGGTTTGTTTTGAGATAATCTCTCAGTGACTAAATTTTTTATAAATTCCTAAAAAAAAAAACTCCGTCCGCGCAAAATACCTTAATAAAGTTCTTTGCGTACTGTTTTTCGTGAATAAGGTTGTGAGACTCCCTCCCCCTCTTGAGGCGAGAGAACAATAATACGTACGTGAGAATGGCAATATTTTTTCTGCTTCTTCTCCTTTATGACAGCCTTTTTGGCTTTCTTCTTTGGCATTTCACTCTTTTCAGGAGAAACTGTAAATGTTTCATCTACCACTCTTTCAAAACTTAGTCTCAGTGGCTTCGGAAGTCTTTTTGGAGCTGCCAGATAATCTTTAATGTCTTGAACATTTTCTAAAAAGTAAACCCGTTAATACATATTACCCACATTACTGGGAGGGACAACGTAATTAGGATACAAGATAATGGTGATTTATTCCGGAGTTCTGGAATATGAACGGTTTTCCATTATCCGGGCTACATTTTTAAATTCGTCTACCAATGAAATTGGTCGAGATTCATAATAAGGAAGACTGTTGGAATTCATGCCTGAATACAAAAATTAATTTCTTAGTTTAGTTAAACATTTTCTCTTTTCCACCCAAACTCTCAGGGTGACTGTCTGACATTTATGGCTTTTCTTAGAAAATAGAGACGTGTAGAAAAACAGTCCTCATGGTGAGTCACAAAGGAGAGGCTGAAGAAAATTGAAACAAGGGCCTTTTGTCAAATGGGTCCAGAGAGTGAAAACTCTCATGACTTTTAGTTAGTCGTCCTAGAGACTTCGTTGGAGAAAGATATACCTTCTGCGTGCGATCATTAAAGAGTTTTACTTTGAAGAATAAAACTAATGTGTTTTTATTGAGTATTCCTACACATAATCCAATAGGTTATGGGCCCAGGATACTCCGCGTTTTATAGTAGTTAATTTCTTTCTATTATGGTCAAGTTTTTCTTATTTTGAGTTATTAAAAAGTGAATTAAAATGTCTACGTCGTTGAAAAGCGATAGGAGAAACATTAAGTTGTTCGATGGTGAAAAATATAATGTTTGGAGATTCAGGATTTATGCTTTACTCACTGAACTCGGTGTAATAAAAGTGATTAGTGAACCAGTTCCTAATTATGTAACTGCAGAGTGGAAGAAATTGGACAGTACTGCCACAAGTGTGATTGTTAATTATTTAAGTGATTCATTTTTGGGTTTTGTCACAAATGAAACCAAGGCAAGAGACATTTTTGAAAAATTGGACAAATTATATTTGAGGAAAAGCCTTGCGACTCAACTTGCACTGAGAAAGAAGTTACTTGCACTGAAACTGGAGGGCGAGACAACCCTGTTGAAACATTTTGTGAATTTTGATGACTTGATTAGTGAATTAATCACAGCCGGTGCTAAATTAGAAGAGATGGACAAGATCGCACATTTGTTATTGACAATGCCAAATGCATACGATGGTGTAGTTACGGCAATAGAGACTTTATCAGAGGATGCATTGAGCTTGGAATTTGTTAAAACACGACTGCTGGATCAAGAAGTAAAATTAACAAATGAAAGTCGAGATACCAGTAGTAAAATTCTTCAAGCTCAAGCCCAAAATGCAAGTGTCAGAAATGAAAGTGATAAGAAAAATCAAAAGCATTTTCGACAAAAACCCAAAAGACCGAATAAATTCAAAGGACAAAATAAATCGATTGGAATCAAGTGTTATCATTGTGGAAGGCCAGGGCATCAAATTAAAGATTGTATTCATCACAAAAGACGACAAGAATACACTAAAAACGGGCAAAATAAAAACACTGCACAAATAATGCAGGTCGAGCAGCCCTCGGCTTCAAACGTCTTCAAATCGAGTTTCGCTTTTATGGCTCTTGAACATGTGGCATTTGAGGAAACACAGAAAAAAATTGTTTTTCTCCTCGACTCTGGGGCCACAGACCACATCATAAATCGTTTAGACCTGGTGACAGATTTTGAAGACCTGGAGATCCCAACACAAATTACTGTTGCAAAGAAGGGTGTTTTCATCACGGCAACAAAAAGGGGTACGCTGCGGGTGACAAGCAACAAAGGTTTCCAGGGAGAACTTAAGGATGTCCTGTACTCGCCTGATTTACCCCACAATCTACTCTCTGTTCCGAAAATGCGTAAGGCTGGATTTACGGTAATTTTTGGACCAGAAAAGGTAGGAATTTTAAAAGATGATCAAGTGATCATGGAAAGTCAATCCGTCAATGGATTGACCGCTCTCGAGTTTGCGGTTATCTCTCAAAGGGTAAAGTTAGCTAATCAAGCATCTAATAATAAAATTAATTATGAAGTTTGGCATCAACGCTTGGGACATATTGGTAGAAATAAATTTTTAGAATTGAAAAACAAAGAAATGATTGATGACATAGAGTTGATTAAACAAATCACACCAAATGATGATTTGTGTGAGCCTTGCATTAAAGGAAAACAAGCGCGGTTGCCATTCAATAAGGCTAAAGATAAGTCTCATATAGACAGACCGTTATTCATTGTACATACAGATATTTGTGGGCCGATTACTCCTCCGACAGTTGACAATAAAAACTATTTCGCGACATTTATTGATCAGTACACGCATTATTGTGTTACATATTTGATGACACAAAAATCAGATTTATTTTTGGTTTTTCGAGACTTTGTTACTAAAAGCGAAGCTCATTTCAATTTGAAAATAGTAAATTTATACTCCGATAATGGGAGAGAATATTTGTCAAATGATATGAAAAATTTTTGTCGGGAGAGAGGAATTAGTTTTCACTTAACGGTACCGAGAACTCCGCAATTAAATGGCGTAGCCGAGAGGATGAATCGGACAATAACGGAGAAGGCTCGGACACTTATATCTGGTGCTTGTTTAGAAAAGATTTTTTGGGGTGATGCTGTTCTTACAGCCACGTATTTGATAAATAGAACACCCACGAAAGCTATAAAAGAAAACAAAACACCATTTGAAATGTGGCATAATAAGAAGCCACAGATTAAATATTTGAGAATATTCGGTTCCACTGTTTATGTGCATGATAAAATCAGTAAAGGTAAATTCGATGAAAAATCGTGGAAAGGAATACTGATGGGATATGAACCGAATGGTTATCGTGTGTTTGATGTTGAAACAGAAAAATATTCTGTAGTGCGAGACGTTATTGTAGATGAAACTAAATTTTTGCAGTCAAGGCCTGGAATAGGGCATAGTGGAGCTGAAATAGTGCCCCCTGAGGCTGAAAGAATGCCGAAAGGAGTTAAAATAAAACCTCCAGCAAAATCTGATATTGAGAAATCAGATAATTGCAATATTGATGAATTTGATGAGGCTGAAAAAGTGCCTAATAGGGCTGAAAGAATGCCTGAAGGAGTTGTAAGTGAAACTCCAGTGAATATTGATGATTTTAATAGTTTCTCTAAATCAACAAAAGCGTCTCAGCACAGTAAAACTGATCTTTCTGACAATAGTTCAAAATCAGTAAGAAATAATGATCAATCTAATAATGACAAATCAGAAATGACAATTGGAGGTGAATCAAGTAATGATAATAGCCTCGATAGTTTGGTAAAGAAAGATAATTTGAAACGAATGACTTCAGAACCGAGAAGAAGTGACCGATTGAAAAAACGGCCACATATTTCTTATGATGAAAAGAATATACCGGAAGACTGTTTCATGAATGCTCAATCCATCATTAATGATATCCCTACCCTTTATCATGAAATTAAAAATAGAGACGATAAAGAAAAATGAGAACACGCGATTCAGGATGAAATTAATTCCTTATTGGCAAACAACACATGGAGTTTAGTGCCAAGACCTGAAAACAAAAATATTGTTGGTTGTAAATGGGTATTCGCAATCAAGCATGATGAACATGGGAATCCCGTCAAATATAAAGCTCGTCTCGTAGCTAAGGGATTCAGTCAAAAATATTTAATCGATTATAATGAGACATTTGCCCCAGTAGCACGAATTGCAAGTTTTCGATTTATTATTGCTTTTGCTAATCAATTCAATTTATTAATTCATCACATGGATGTTAAAACTGCATTCCTGAATGGCAATTTAAAAGAAGAAATATATATGAATGTTCCCGAGGGTATTGAAAATGATCAAAATTATGTTTGTAAATTAAATAAATCGTTGTATGGATTGAAGCAAGCAGCCAGGTGCTGGTTTGAAGAATTTGATAAAGCTCTCGTTGAAAAAGGATTCCAGAATTCTCCAGTTGATAAATGTATTTATATTTTGGATAAAGGTGACATAACACGAAATATTTATGCAGTCTTGTATGTCGATGATCTGGTGTTAGTCACGAAAGAGCAAGAAACAATGAACAGTCTGAAGGGATATTTGATGGAGCGTTTTAAAATGGTAGATCTGAACGAGATCAAGCTTTTTCTGGGAATTAGAATTACAAGGTCTGATGATAAAATAACTCTTGATCAGAGTAGTTATATTGAAGCAATATTAACTAAATTTAATATGCATGATTGTAATCAAGTGAATACTCCTATGGAGAGTAATGTTGATTATGAAGGTTTGAATTCTGAAGAGAATTGTAATGCACCTTGTCGAAGTGTCATTGGATGTTTAATGTACTTGATGGTTTGTACTCGACCAGATTTGAGTATTGTTGTTAATATATTGAGTCGATACATGAATAATAATAATGAGGTTCTTTGGAAATGCCTCAAGAGAGTTTTGCGTTATTTAAAAGGGTCAAAAGATTTGCAATTGGTCTATGAAAGAAGTAATTACAATGACATTTTGACAGGGTATGTTGATTCCAATTGGGGAGGAAATGATAGTTCGGATAGAAAGAGTACCACAGGATACTTATTCAAACTATTCGAACAATGTACAATATGCTGGAATACAAGAAGGCAAACCTCTGTTGCAGTTTCATCCACTAAAGCAGAGTATATGGGTTTATTCGAAGCAGTGAGGGAAGCATTATGGCTCAAATCACTTGCAATTAGTATAAATATTGAAATTAATCAACCAATTATAATTTATGAAGATAATACCGGATGTATTAGTATTGCCAGTAATCCGTCAAGCCACAAGAGATCCAAGCATATTGACATAAAATATCATTTCTCTCGAGAACAAGTTGCAAAGAATGTAATCAAATTGGTTTATATTCCAACAGGGAAGCAATTAGCAGATGGATTAACGAAGTCACTCCCATCGGCAGGGTTCTTGGAATTCAGGAAGAATTTATGTTTAAAGTGACATAGTTTAAAACAATGTATTTAGATGATAAGTTGATATATATGACTTGTATAGGGCGATCAGGTTTTTCCCTGGGTTTTTCACCTGATCAGTTTGTAGCGCTATACACAGTATTCCCAGAAGGCATAAAGAAGGTGTATCTCAATCCAGTAATATTTTTTAGATGTACACATTTTATATGATAAAACTAGTTAAGGTTAATAGATTAATTTTTGAGGGGGCGTGTTGGAATTCATGCCTGAATACAAAAATTAATTTCTTAGTTTAGTTAAACATTTTCTCTTTTCCACCCAAACACTCAGGGTGACATTTATGGCTTTTCTTAGAAAATAGAGACGTGTAGAAAAACAGTCCTCATGGTGAGTCACAAAGGAGAGGCTGAAGAAAATTGAAACAAGGGCCTTTTGTCAAATGGGTCCAGAGAGTGAAAAGTCTCATGACTTTTAGTTAGTCGTCCTAGAGACTTCGTTGGAGAAAGATATACCTTCTGCGTGCGATCATTGAAGAGTTTTACTTTGAAGAATAAAACTAATGTGTTTTTATTGAGTATTCCTACACATAATCCAATAAAGACTTTTAACGGAAACAAACATTTCTGACATATCTAAATTGTCGCATCTCTTCACGTTAAATAGGGTCTGCCCCCTGCTGGTTGCATTATTAAAACCGAATAGTATCAACTCTAAATTTCAAGCTACTTACCAGACCATTTCAAAACTGCCACGGAATGGACAGTGCCATGTACTGAAACCCAACGAACTGACGTTTTGTTTTGAATTATATTGTTGAGATCTTCATTAGGGGTCGACCACCGTCACATTTGTTCTGCTTTAGATGATGCAATACACACATATCATGTTTTATTTGGGTTTGATGCCAGATGGCACAATAAACAGTCTTTGTCATTGTGACCGTATATGACTCAATTGGGGGATATTCACTGAAAACAAAACCATCGCAAGAAAATTGGTTAATGTTTCCATTTGACTTTTTACTTTGATTAGATTTTCTACGAGAATAAAATGTTTGGAAAAAAAATCACTCAAGCTTTTTTTGAGAAACGAATGTTGAGGCTACTTTAAAATAAGTTGGCCAAGAAATAAAAAAAATAACTGGATGAAATCATTTGAATCTCATCCGAAGACGATTCTTCACGGTTGGATTTTTTACACGGACAGGATATTTGACATATTTATTCATTTTTTTCCATTTTCCTCAGATCTTTCAATGTGTTAATATAGGCCGTAATTTAATGTCCATTAAAAAGTTTTGACTCCATGATAAAGGAATAACATCGCTGTAGACCTCTCGAAAAGAAAAAAATGTATGCACTTGAGAAAAATTTAAACCTTATGGAGTATCAGAAAACAAATTGTACAGGGGAGGGTAGGGCAAAGTGGAACGATGGGGCAAAGTGAAATGCGGGACAAAGTGAAATACCTGAAAAAACGATGATTTAGCACATTTCAGACGACTTCTGTATTTTTCTTATAAGGGGAGGTGTCAAGGGGTCATATAAGAGTTCTATAAAAGTCATACAGATTCCTACCAGGGCCATGTCAACCTCTCGTCTCAGGATCATATGAGAGTTATCTGTACATAAGTTGGGGGTGGATTATCCATAAAAAAATTTTTAAAAAAGGATGATTAAATCTACGTATCTTTTATTCGAAGAATGTTTTTTTTTTTCTTTATTGCTCAAGTTATGCTGCTGACAACATGCATCAAAGCTTATTCGTGTTCTGCCATTACTCTCGAAAATTCGGTGACGAAAAAATCTGAAAAAATCTACAATTTTTTTCCTGTGGGAGGAAACTCAGAATTTTTCAGAATTTTCTGACACAACAAGAAATTTTGAGACAGCCACTTGGTGACATAGAGGGGTCATATGTGAAGAATTTTAATTCGTCAAATGACCCCGATGACCCTTTCCCCAACTTATGTACACATGCTCCTCATATGACCCCGAGATCAGAGATTGACATGACTAAGGAATCAGATATGAACGCTAAAGAACTCGTACATCCCCCCCATGAGATGGAGTGGAAGAGAGCGGAAAATTCGCTAGCTGAAAATTGGAAATTGAGGGTTTCTGCGGATCGAAGACAATTTCAAAGGGTGACAAAACTTGACAAAACTTAACAAAAGTTTTGTCAAGATTTGTCACCTTTTGAAATTGTCCCAAATCCGCAGAAACAGTTAATTTCCGATTTGGCCTTATAATGGCCCTCATGAGATATGCATACAACACCCTTATAACAAAAAATACAAAAGTTTCCTAGAATTTGATAATAATCGCTTTTTTAATTATTTCACGTTGCCCCGTCATTTTAGCTTGCGCCAGACTCCCCTATAGGAAAAATTGTTTTTATTCATCAAAATTTTCAATTTTTTATCGAGCTCTCTGGACTTTCAAAATAGCTGATTTTCGAAATTTCAATTAACAAATATTTCCACCGCATCTCCAAATCGCCATTCATAGAGTGATACACGTACAGATTTTTCAATTAATTTATTAATTTATGATAGGATTTTCAATTAATTACGATAAAACCTGACAAAAATGCCACTTTTTTACCTTTTGTGATAAATTTTTGTTCGTAGCGCTGGTTCTGCGTTTTTTTTTTTTAATTCTCACTCCCAACCATTTATAAACAGGTTATACTCATTTGAAACCTGATTTTAGAACAATGCATCATTCCACGTACGAAAATTTTTTATAGAAAACCTTAAAGAATTCTATATGAATTTCTATACATTTTTTTCCGTTTCTACTGACATGTTCGATACCAAATATTATATAAAAAAAATTCAATAAAATTTCATTTTTCTGTAACAACTTTTCGGTTGAACTTTTTTCTAAGTTTTTTTTAGTCATTTTTTATTTTCTTCTCTTCAAAAAAATCGAATTAAAAAACTTAGAAAATTAAAGCTGAAAAAAATCGATAGAAAACGAAATTCTATAGACTTTTTGTATATAATTTCCTATCGAACATGTCAATAGAAACAGAAAGAAACGTATAGAAAGTTCAATAGAAGTCTTATAGAAAGTCTGTAGAAATTCCTACAGAATTCTTCAGGGTTTTCTATTGAAATTTTTCGTAAGTGTATATACGGTATAACTAGCATTGGCGAAACGTATTAGTGTTCTCAAACAAACCAATTTTTTGAAATTTTTGGACTTGTTTCACGAGCTATACTCATGTAGATTTGCTGATTCTTTTGGTTTAAATATAAATTTACACTAGTCATAAAGTCCAAGTCTTAGCAGAATGGTTCTAATGGTGTCATTTTTTAATATTTTCCCCGTAAATTTCTTTTTCAATGTTTCAAGACATTGATTAAAAATATCGCGAAAATTTCTTTATATATTTGCAGCTCTCCTCCATTGAGAAAGAAATCGAAGAACCATGCACTTAGATCATTTCGAAAAAAGTCAAGATGGATCCAAAAAATATATGTTTCATGTTCTTTGAAAATATAATTTTTATTGTCTTTCATAATTATCAATCATTTAGTTGTTTGCCCATTTGTTATAATGCTTTGAAACACAACTGATGGCTCTACAGAGCTTTAAATAGGGGTGCCAAAACTTTTTTTAAATTTCTATAGCGATCAGTTAACAAATTATTTTGAAGTTATTTTGAATATTGAATTTGAATATGTTGACGTGTGTTGAATATCCCTGTATGTATAGGATACATTCCATAAAACCCTGTAGCAACTTTTGCCCTAAAAATTTTGATCTTTTCCATACATTTATAATTCATTATATATACAAAAATACCCATAGAATTTAATTTACAGCCCGATCAGGCGCAGCATCAAAACGTGTTTATAGCAATTTTTTTCATAAATGAATTTAAAAAAGCCTCAAATTGCCAAAGCTTCGAATTATTAAAAAAACAAATATCGCTTTGAAGTTCAAACAATGTTATTTGGCCTCTCCCCCATTTCTTTCGATTTTTTTTGCATTAAAAAGCTGAAAAAAGTTAACAAAAAATATTGTAAAATGCAAATAACAGATTCAATGTGGTCAATTAGAATTCTGAACTCAATGAAATTATCAAGACAATCATAATTTGAAAAAAGTCAAAATTTCAATTGTTGGAGTGAATACGTATCGTTGAAATAATATTCCGAATTTGAACAAATTAGCTGAAAAGAACACATTTCATCGCTACCTGTAAATTTTTTGCTTGAAGAATTCAGCAAATTGAGTCCGCAACTCTAGGTGCATAACAAATATTTTTCCTTCTAAAGAATCGAAGTTATTTCAATTGAAAACCATGTGCCAATTTTTTTTCTACCCCCCTTAACGGCGTTTGAAATAACTTTTTGAAAAAAAAATGGCAATAAACACATTGGTGTGCTGTGCCCGGCCATATCAACAGATAGAGGGCTATAGATTAAACTCAAGGGGTATTTTTGCTTATTTTATAAGTTATGAAAGTACGAAAGAAATTAAAATTGTGAGGCCAAAGATTGCTATAGGGTTTTGTGGAGTATCTCAAATATATCTTCAGGATTAAATCTGACGATTAATCAATAAAAAGTCATCGAAATCGACTGAATTTGCGCTAGAAACTTTCATTTCCATGCCGTCCACATTGAATTGAAAAACAGTGTCGGCTACGCGTTATTAATTTTCTAGCCAAATAATCAACCATGCAATATTTTTACGATAACTTAAATATTCATTTCATTCTCTAAATCAACTTATCGTCAAAAACATAAACAACATAAACAAGGCCAGGTCTATTTGAAAGTAGGGGAGGGTGGGGCAAAACGGCCCCCCTTCAATTGTCAATAACTCGTGAATGACATTGTGAATATTCCCAATTTCAACTTCATTTTGAAGATAATTTTTCATTCTTCAAAACGAGCTCTAACTCATCCCAATCGGATTACTGAATCGGAAAATATTGACGATTGAAGGGGGGCCGTTTTGCCCCATCCTCCCCTATAGTACTTATTTTCATTAATATTTATCAAAAACGATAACAATAGTTGAGATAATTATAAGCGAATATCAGCGGGTTTTCCCATGTAACATGATATTTTAAACTCTCATCTTGAGATCAATTTAAAGTTGGTCAAAATTCTTGATATTTTCAATTTTTATCTTCTTTGTTCTGAATTTACCAAAATTTTATCAAAGATTCTGGAAACAATATTGATTGTGCTTGGGCATCCAAAAAATCTACGATAACCTCTATTAGAAATTTTGAAATTTCAATGTAAAAAGAATGGCCTAGAATTGAAGCTGTATGAATTCCTACTTCAAATTGGAAAGCCATATTTTCTGATAAATAATTTATGAATGATTTCAATGAAAAAATAAAAAAATTAATGCGTAAACGATTCGAATTTCAACTGTTTATCGATTTGAAAAAGCCGGTCAATTATAAAAATGCTATAGATGTAATTTCTGATAAAAAGCTTGAATATTAAAAAATGATGTCATATTAATTGAACCGCCGTTAATTACATCCAGGACGATGCTCAACTTTTCTAACGTTCAAATCAAGTGGTTATAGCAACGTTTACTCTGGGTTGTGGACTTACCCAGAGTCGGTCATAATTTCATTTGAGATTTTTTTCTCTTCACTACCAAGTTGGAATTTGAAAAATTTGAAAAATCGGCCGCTGGTTGTATAAGGACTTCTATGAAAATTACAAATCTATATTGGACATTTGTTTTTTAACATTCTCGTTGTTTTTCTTTCACCCGTGTTTCCAAAGTGGAAAAATGGTTTACAGTTCTTTCATTTCCGATTAATTATTCAACTTTGAATTAAATGTTCATGGTCGAAAGCATTTATAGTAAACTGTTTGTAATATTCAGTAACATTTTTTAAGGTTAAGACGAATATTTAACATAAAATTTCAGACACAGATTGGAAAATTGTTCATGCTCACGCAATTTTCATGTATATGATATCTGTACTACCTTCCGAACTCGACTCACATGCTTCCGTTTTCACTAATTATTTTGTTTTTTTAATTTTTATCGATGATTGCAATACGTTATCAATATCTTCCTTTTCGCCCTCTGCGATTATTTGACAGTTTCACGTATTGCCTGTGCGGCATGAGACTAGGCGGTGGGGCGGGCGATGAAAAATGGGGCAAGTAGCGTGTGACAATTTTTCTGCAGGTGAGACTTTTGATAAAGAAAAAAAAAATTTCTCTTTTGACCCTATAATTGGTCTTTAGGCTGTTGGGTCTGTATACAGCAATAAATAAATAAATAAATAAATAAATAAATAAGAGCTTGCATTTTTAAAAATTAGGTCACGTTAATTAAATCGTAATTAATCACATACAGAACGATGCCCATCCTGTCTAACCTTCTGAACAAGTATTTGACAACATTATTTAACGATTTTATTTTATTTGTTTCATTGGTAAGTTATCATTAACTAAAATCGAAAAATCGTACTCTGGTTTAATAACTGGGCTTCTATTATCATAAATTGAACTAAATTAAAAAATTGTAAACTGGTTTTATAAACAGACCTCTATGCCAATTAGAAATTTGAATGGTATTTTTTTTTTATCCGTGTGTCAAATTAAATGATAATAATTTTTTTTCCTTTCGGCTCAGTTATTTAACTTTAATTTGATTTTTGCATTATGGAAAGCATTTGCGGCAAAATATCTTCAGCATTTAGAAACATTTTTCAAGGTTAAGCCGAATATTTAACGGAAAATTTGATATGGAGATTTGAAAACTGTTGAACTCACGCTATTTTTATCCATGGAATATCTCCACAATGTTGAAATTTCGCCTCATGTAATTCCGTTTGAACTTATTATTTCCTTTATAGATTTGAATTAGGAATTCTAATACCAGATTAATATTTTGCTTTTCGTCTCCTGCGCAATTTGGACTGTTTCACGTGTCGCCTGTTATTAGGTATGAAGCTGGACGTTAGGAGTGGGATGAAAAGTGGGGGAAGTAGCGTGTGAAGGTAGTTGGATACACGCGAAATGGTTAAAACACCGTAGGGGACGAAAATTGATCGAAGTATTAATAAAACGTCTTGAAATTTTAAAAAGTTATTGAATGAATTAATAAGTTTAAACTAAAGCAACCGAGGCGAATTTTCACTCTATTGAAGGCATCATTATGGATAATAATTGCGTGAGTATCATTAACTTTGAATAATGCATATAAAAACAATTCGCTAAATAATATTCTTAACCTTGAAAAATGTAACGAAATGCCTGGAGACACCTTACCAACAACGCTTTCGATCATGAAAATTCTGATTGAACCGCTAGAAAAACTTTTCGGATATAAAAATTTATCATCTTTCAATTTTCGAAACACGACTAACAAGTAAAATATAGTAAAATATACCATTTAGATTTTCAATTCTCATAAAAGTTTGTTTATGAAACTAGTGGGCGATTTTTCGACTCAATTTAATTGATAGTAATGGAATGTATTTATTCAACCAGATTTTGATTTTTCGATTTTATTGAATTACAACTTTGAAGGAAAAAGAAAATAAAATATTTACAAAATTTAGATTTTTGCCTTCAGTTTGACAAAGATAACACTTTCAATTTTTAACAAATGAAAAAAAAAACAATGAACAAAAGGTTCAAAAACACGTAAATCACATAAGTTCAGGCGTACCCTGTAGGATTTTTTATAGGACAAAATTCTCATAGGAAACCTAATATAGAAATTTGTATAGAGAATTCGAACGTTTCATTCAGGCTTTCCTGTAAATTAATCCTGACGCTTATAATCCATTGGTCTGAGTCTCAATTGTGTCAGTTAATTTGCCATGGAAAATCGTATAATGAATCCTATGGGAAATCGTATTGAATTTTACCAAACGTGTTGGAAATAAAACCATGGAAAAAATTTAACAATATTTCTTTAATTATAGTGATTTTCAGCTAGAAATTCCATTGGAGAACATAAAAAAAGGAACAATGAGGCAAATATTGGGGTCTTCAAACTAAATTTTTTTTTCCGCTGAAAATTTCACTTTAATCATTAAGTTTCTAGCATTATTATTTGCTGAGATGATTGTCCAATTGATGAATAATGTTACACGAAGAAAAAAACAATAGAGAACCTATCAAATTTGTGATATTTTAACATGTGTGTATTTGAATGAATTCAATTTTATTGAGCGGTTCTAACTTCAGAACTTTGAAAGATGGATGTTATTGGGTTGGGCTTCTGAGAAAATCCATTGATTGAACTCTGAAATCCATATCTTAAACTTTTTAATTCTAGTTTGGGCCAAATTACGCAGGAATCTCCGTGCTACCGCGCTTTTCTTAAATTATGGTTGGTTGGGAGATTCGAACAATCGGCAACAATTTCATTTTGACAATTCAAGTTTGTAGCAAATTTACAGTAATTTCCAAACCACGTATTTCCCGAAATTTTCCCACACAAAAATTTGGATCATCTGTTGTTGGATACATAGGAAGAGCAATCTCAAAATTTCAAGGATTTGGGCTACACCGTTTTTGAGATATCCGTCATCAAAAATTGGAAAAACACGAAATTTCAATTTTTGACGACGCATATATAAAAAACGGCGTAGTCCAAATTCTTGAACTTTTGATATTCCTTTCTCCATGTATCCAACAACACATGATCCAAATTTGGGGTGCTTAGCACATTGTGAAATTTTCACCATTAATAAATGCTATGAAAGTACCTTAAATGTTCAGGGAGCATCACAAGTTATTTAATCACAAAAATGATTTAGCTTTGTTCGGAAGCTAAATGCTAAATGAAAAGCGTTGAAAATGTATTTTTATTGTTGTCAATGAATTGCCCCTCAATTGTCAGGCAAGTGAAAAATTTTGACGAGGAAATTTTTTGGTTTTAGACACAAGATCTTATCTTCTCATCAAGTTGTTAGCCATGAGTTTCATGATACAATTAAAATAATACTTGTAAAAAAAACGTTTTCCATCGCATATGAAAACATTTAATTGGAAATACCAGCGAATTCGCTACGATTCTATTGGAATTATATCTAAATTTCCGCAGGATTTCTATGGAAATTCTATGAAAAATTCGATATATTTCCTGACCTGTTTTCATTGGTTACTTGTATAGAGAAATTTCAATAGAATATGAATTTCTGTCCGAATTTTCCTCTTAAGATTTTTCTTTTTAAAATTATCGCGAGAATTTTTTTAACATTATTCCCACCGGATCTGTTTTGGTTTTGCATTACAGAATTCATATAAAGGAAAAATTACAAAAGTTCATACCCTAGAGCATCCTCATATAGAAAACCGAGCGAGTAATTTAGATATCCAATAGAATCAGCGCCAAAAACAAATAGAATTTTTCAATAGAATTTCAATACAAATCCTCTAAAAACTGTTGTTGTATTCATTGACTATTATTTCAAATTATTAGCAATGAAATACTTTTATGCAATTTAAAAATAGAAACAAAATTAAAAATCTTTGCAAATGGAGGCAATAAGCCCTATCAACGCCACACAACCACAATGGGAAAACGTTTTGCTACCTCGTTCGTTAAATCTGCAAACCCATATTTTCATAACAGAACATGAACAGCAATATCGACTGAAAGAAAAGGACTACTCCTCACAAACAAGATTTACTTGATACAATTCTCTTGTCAATTTTGAAAGTCAAAAAAATATATTTTTCACTGACGTATCAAAAGCTCGGTCTTACGGACCACGCCCCTGGATCCTCCCCCCCACCACCACCACCACCACCGTCTCCTCAGTCTCCTCTTGCTCCACGGGGGATCACGCTTGTGACACGTTCGTTACAAAAAAATGCGTTTGCCATTTATCCGTTACGCGCAGTCTCACACACGTGCAGTTCGTCTCGCTCATCTCGCTTTACGGCCTTGTGACACAATTTACTACATTTCGATTGCACGGAGAAAACTTTCGCGATCGATTTAAATTGAGAGAAAATTTATCATTCTCAATTTATACTGACGACCTTATGAGAATGGTCTTCGGCTTTTACCTACAAATTTCCCCCACCACCGCCAGCGCAGCATGTAAAGACTCGTGGTGGGGGAAATAATGGCTACAGCCGAAGACCACTCTCATAAGGTCGTCAGTATATCATTTCCATCTTCTTTTCAAGTCATGTTGAAAAAAATATTGGCCAATGAAAACCAGAACTAAATCTCCCTATGCAAACAGAATGAATTTATGCAAAGATCATTATTATTAATCTTGATAACCCTGAAAAAGTTTTTCGAGATGAGAGAATGTCATACTGTTGAGCGATGTTTTTGCCCTAGTGTGACAATGAAATAATTTATCAAAAGATGTCACGAATATAAGATATAAAAAAAATTCCCAAGTCGAAATTTCGTTTAGGTTATCTAAGCCTAGGAGAGGGTGGGACAAAATAATACATTTGATACGTTCTCTAATTGTAGATATTTTTGTTTATACATAAACATATTGAGATTTAAAATCAATGACGGAAATCCGATTTTGCTCAGTCTTCCCCTGAATAAGTATCCAATACTGATCAGTAGAGGATCGTGAACCAGTGTACCTGGGTGACTCATGCTCCTACCTTAATTAGTTACATCCATTGATCTCTGATCAGTGATCAGTGATCCATTGATCACTGTCCATTGATCTTCACAGACCTGTTAAAAATTTGTTATCTGTACGGAAGTGAATAGGTGTTAACCAAGATAAATCAGTAAAATGAGTCAGTTCAGGAAGGATTCATTGAATGAAATCGATAACAAAAATGACAGGCTAGAGGGGTATTTTCGTTTTTATATGTCTGCCAGCCAGGAGATTTTCAAAGCAAGACCAACGCAAAGTTGTCACGAGACCCCGAACACGGCACATCGATTGATGGAACTAAAACCGGGCTGAGAAAAATAATGCTCCGAATATCACTCGATCTTCGAAATTAATCGGATATTCCCCGCAAGTTACCCTGCGTATCAACGATCGCGAGAAATTTTTTGGAATTTTCGCGAAAAATGTCTGTTTTTCGTTGCTTTGCAACGAAACATTCGGGAAATATCCGATAATTTTGAAGGTCTTAGGGTACTGCAACTGATAATCTATTTATCGAATGAATGTCGTAACGAATGTCGAAGTTCTTAGTTTTCTCAACATTTTATTTATAGAGAAACTTATCTGTTTGTGTAACAGTAATGTTTTGCTTAACCTCCACCTTCAGGAACAAGTTTTAGACAAAGTTTTTCTTATTTCTAAAAACTTTTGTGCTTCTCTGTGTCTGGAAATTATTTATTCTCTGGAATATATTCTACAAAAAATCATTTAAAAAATTACTTCCAAGAATCACTTATGAAATTAAGACATGTTGGACTTTGTAAATATCTTTTATTGTTATACGTGCAAAGTTTCTTCACTACATTCATATTGAGCAACATCGTTCGTAAAATTTTGGTGATAAATTATTGTAAAATGGTTTTGCAATTTTGAAAAATGGTAATAGCCTTTATCGATGAGTATTGCTGGTCAAATATTGCATAAATACTTCGTTATTCGGATCAATATCCTTACGTGTATTTACTAGCTCATTCGCTTTCATTCGTCCCTCGATTTCTTTGGCCAATAGCCTATGAGGATTAATCGTCTGCGTCCTAGTTGTTTCCATGATTTCCACCGCTTGTTCACTGAAAATTGATCGGATGTTTCCTTAACTCTCATCCCGATATTATGTAATGAACAAATAATTATAACTTATAATAAGAGAATAATATATAGCTTATAATTTATAAGCTATTGATTATTCTCTTATTGCACAGAAATTCATATGACTAAACTTTACTGATCCTTACCATCTACCATTAGAAGTATTCAGATCCTCAGATTTGCGCGACTGTTGGAACTGTACAATATTTCGTGGATCGTTCTCATGTTTGTTGATCACACTTTCTTGTTGGCTTGAACTCTTATTAAAACAATTCGTAACATCATGATCTAAAGAACATCTTCTGCTACATATACATCTACAGAATAACTTGTAGATGCTACAAGAAGCACCGTTGCATAATATAAATAATGCGAAAATAATCCCCAATCCATAAGATATGTACCATAAGAAACTGTGATGAGTGTTCATCCAATGAATTTGTCGCTTTTGATGCTTGATATTTTCAGC